TGTCAATTCTATACATCCATTTGCTTATTTGCTTTTTTGTATAGTTTATAGTTATAGTTATAGTTAAAATTTTTTTTTGATCCACTGTATTTGTCTATAATAACTCCAGTTGTAGTATTTTAAAAATGATGAAGTTTCGTTGTTGCCTTTAGTTTCATCATTTGCGCTTTTTGTTGAAGGAAACTGAGAAGATGCCATAAGTATGATCTCAAATCACCATCAAATGGTTTACAAAAACTTCTTTCTATTATTAAACGAAATATATAGTATGAAATTCAAAATTTGCATGCAGAGCTTTATAAAGGTTTTAAAAGACCACTAGTGGAGCACACCTTACCTTTTGTTTACAAAAGCCGACCTACCTAATGTCCCAAATAAATGCACTTACCGTGCGCAACGTGAATAGAAACGAAACGATCAAAATCGGAACAAACAAATATTTTTTGCACTTGCGATTTTGACCAAGAGTAGTAGTAAATACCCCGTATTAAAACACTTCAATTTTAAAAAAATTGGCAAATATACGTTCCTGCGCCTGTGGGAGTGGAATAAGTGTCGTCCGTGAGTTTGCCGGCTGGTAACGCTGTTTACGTTGTTTTCATCGTTTTCCAGCCGGCGCACAGTGCCGCCTAAGTGGGCAAAAATCGAAAAATTCGTTATCTGCAATGTGAACTTGCTTGGTATTTTTGTAAAGACAATTCATCCACTAAAAAGAATTAAACAGACATTTCCCTAAATAATTAATTATATGCCGCCAGGAAGCCACTAATATCGACTTAGAGCGTTGCGTTGTGTTGGTTGTGTGATGACTTAGCTCACGCAAAATGTGCCGGTCTCAATGGTAGGGTAGCCGATATCATAACCGATAACAAAGGTGTTCGTTGGTCTTGCCCCAAGTGCAGATCAACGGAAGTTGACCTTTGGAGCGCCAGAAGTGGCTTCCAGGAGTTGGGTAAGGAGTTAAAACTTCTAAAAGAAAAGTTTAGGCAATATGAGGGTGCATTTAAAGACTTTAAGTGCATTAAATCTTCATCCTCTCCACCACCCAAGCTTAAACAAGCTTCAAAAAAGCATGGAGGAGACAGCATTGTTCCTAATCCCATTGCTTTAGACATTGACATTCTGCCAATTAATTCTTTGCCTACTCCCGGCCATATAGGCTTAATGACTGTATTATATACAAGTACTTTATAATCTAGTTTCAGTTTTGATTTACTGTTTATAAGCCAGTTCACGCTAGCTGACTTTAGCTTCATTTGTGTATCTTGGTTGAAATGTGTTTGCGCCAAGTTAGTCTCCTATCCAAGTCTATTCCTAGATATATCACCTCATTGGCTTGTGGAATATGGACATTTTTTAATTTGAATGGGGGGCATACTTGCGGTCTGAGTGAAAATGTTGTATGTTTACTCTTCTGTTCGTTGACTTTTATGCGCCAGTTTGCCAGCCATTCTTCTATGCGTAGTAAATGTTCCTATAGCACTCTTGAAGCTCTGTTGGGACATTTTTTACGACTTACTAAGGCGGTATCATCAGCGAAGGTGGATTTGAGTATATCCTTGCTAGTTGGAATATCTGAAGAGCAGATGATATACAGCATAGGCCCGAGTACACTACCTTGACTAACGCCAGCCGTTATCGACATGTCTTTTGAAGTGAAATTAGATACTTTTACAGCAAATTTTCTGTTAGTTATGTGTGATTCAAATATTTTGTGGAATTCCGGCCACACTATGTCGAATGCTTATGCCACATAGAGAAAAATTGCAGAGCAGTACTCTCTGAGCTCAAATGCCCTTCTGATTCCATTTGTAATTCGATTAACTTGCTTAACTGTACCATGTTTTTCTCGAAAGCCAAATTGGTGCGCTGGTATTAACTTGCGTTCATGGAGAAAGGGAAATATCTTTGATAGGAGTACTTTTTCGAATACTTTGGAAAGACAGGGCAGTAAGCTTATTGGTCTGTAAGAGGACGGCTGTGTTGCATCTTTCCAGGTTTGGCTATCATGATTATCTTCGACCTTTTCCATGATTTCGGAAAGTAACCGAATTTGAGGATAGCGCTGAAAAGGTCAGAAAGAATTGCTAGTGCAACATTCGGTAGCTCTGTTAGCATTTTCGGAGTTATAAAATCAGCACCCGGCGATTTCTTTGGATTAAGCTGCTTTATTATAGCTTTTACTTCTAAAGAGTTCGTCTTGCTAGGTGTGTATAGCTCATTTGTATTTTTGGTTAGATGTGGCAGCCTGAAGTTGTTCGTAGGACAGTTTGGCTGAAACACATTCTTTAAATGGTGTGAAAAACACTCGGCTCTCTCCTGCTCACTACGAGCCCAGGCACCACTTTGGTTCGTAATTGGCATTTCCGTAGCCACTGGTGGTTTGAAGTATTTTAGCGATTTTCATAGGGAGTATCTTTCAGTAGAATTCGGGGAAAGCTTCTTAATGAACCTTTGCAATTTGCGATCCTCTGCACGTTTGAGTACTTGTTTCAGTTTTCTACTGGCAGCTTTATACAGTAGCTGTGAGGTTGGTGAACGATGGCTCTGCCACTGTCTTCTTAGGCGCCGCTTTTCTGCCACAAGTTTTTCTATCTCGGTATTTGTAACTGATGTATGCGTAGGTGGTACTTGGACTTGATTTGGTGTTGCCAGGCCAGCGGCTGAAGTAAAGGTTTCTTTGAAATGTTCAACAAGGGAGTCTATATCACCCTCGCAGTTAAGTGCAGCGTTTAATTTAAGGTGACTACTGATGTACTTTTTATATTTAAGCCAGAAGAATTTAATTAACAATCCTAAATCATTTTATGGTTTCGTAAATTCAAAGCGTAAGGCACATGGTTTTCCATCCGCTATGCATTATCGCAACACTGTATCTAGCGACAGCCAACTCATTGCCAACATGTTTGCTCGGTTCTTTTGGTCTAATTATTCTGTAGACTTCCCTATAAGTGGAGACTATCCGTACGAGCTTTGTCCAATCAACTCTGCTTATATTCCAGTAATATATTCCGATGAAGTTTTACACTCTTTAAAAACCTTAAAAGCGTCATTTAGGCCTGGACCTGATCATATTCCGACCTGTTTTCTTAAAAACTGCGCTGAGAACATCTGCGAGCCTTTAACAACTCTATTCAATTTGTCACTTAAACATGGCGTTTTTCCGTCAGCCTGGAAGGAGTCCTTCATAATACCACTTCACAAAAACGGCAGCAGGTCGTCTATAGAAAACTATCGAGGCATAGCGAAACTCTCCGCTATCCCCAAATTATTCGAAGCAGTTATTGTTAACCAGCTGACATATTCTATATCTTCTTTAATTACACAATCTCAACACGGGTTTTCTAAAGGAAAATCTACTATGACTAATTTATTGGAGTTTACAATTCATGTCTCAAACGGTTTTAGAGAAAATGCTCATACCGACGTAATTTACACCGATTTCAGTAAAGCTTTTGACAAAGTATGTCACTCATTACTCATCCGTAAACTCGACCTAATCGGCTTTCAGCCCAGTCTTCTTCAATGGATCTCATCTTACCTCTCTGATAGAACACAAAGAGTTATTGTTAATAATTGTTCTTCCAACATCATTAAAGTTTCTTCAGGAGTTCCTCAGGGAAGCCACCTTGGTCCGATTCTGTTCCTGATATTCATTAATGATATTTGTTCTATAATAAAACATTCAAAAATTTTAATGTATGCCGATGATGTGAAACTTTTTAAAACATTGTCCTCTATCGAAGAAAGGTCTTTGTTACAAGCGGATCTGAACAACGTGGTTAGTTGGTGTAATGCAAACTATATGCCACTAAACCTTCAAAAATGTAAAGTTATGTGTTTCTCTCGGAAGGCTGTTCAACCAGCTGTTTATTCAATATCAAATTATAATCTGGAGCAGGTATCCAATTTTGTCGATCTTGGTATCACAATGGATTCCAAACTCAATTTCAACCATCATATTAATGTTACAGTCAATAAAGCCAAATGCGTTTTTGCATTTGTAAGGCGATGGTCAAAAGAGTTCAAAGATCCTTATGTTACAAAAGCTCTTTTTACCAGTTTAGTTAGACCTATACTAGAATACGGATCTATTGTTTGGAATCCCCGCTACCAAGTTCATTCAGAAAGGATTGAATCAATTCAAAAACAATTCTTGCTTTTTGCATTGCGTAATTTTAACTTTAATGCAGATTACAATCTCCCCCCTTACACAAGTCGTCTAAAGCTCATAAATTTGCCTACACTCGCAAGTCGTAGAGAAATGCTGAGTATAATATTTATCGTAAAATTAATCACAGGCTTGATTAATAGCCCGGCCCTC